TTTATATACAACACACGCTATGGTGACATGGCTCATGTAACGAAAAGTATAATTTAGTGCTACCAGCTGACTTGCTATGAGATCTTAATACTTTTTTGTTTTTAAAAATCAAGTAAGGCTGTTTGACTTCTTTCCTGAAGTACACAAAGAGCCGACCCTAGACACGTACCATTACTATGAAATCATTCCTGACTTCATATTTAAACACAGTAAGATTATCTGTCTAAAATATGCTTTCTGTGGTTCATAGTGGAAAAGGATATTTTAAACATGAACTGGAGGAGTTTTTTTTAATTAGACCTGATGCATAAACCAATACTGACATTTGCAGATCTGTACAAGAGTTAAGCCACTGATTTCTACAACAACAGGACACTTCGTACACTCTGCAGGTTAGACTTGGGTCAGCATAAAACCACATCATGTCAGTTTCATAACCATTTTTAAAACCCAGAGATAAGCAAACACTACAAGCACACACACAAACATTTATTCATGTATGTATGATTTGTTGCTTTGCTGCCTCAGGACCTGGCCTACTTGCAATCGTAGAATAGACTATATAATTTCTTTCACACCAGAGAGTTCTTGAGGAGAATGTGAGGCCATCTGCTAGAAAGTCAAAGCTGTAGAAGTGGACCTTCTAACTAGATAAAGATCCCAAACATACCCAAACAAGTAAATCCACAAAGGAATGGAGAATAAAAAGGAGGGTCATGAAATGGCCTAGACCAGGGGTTGGAAACCCATATGTTAAGAAGAGCCATTTTGTCCTTTCAACAAAAATCAAACCATTTATAAACATTTATGCAGGGTTATGTAAGTTGTCATGACAAGCTTGTATAGGTGTACATGTAGGCCATGTAGCTTTAAGAACAGGACCCTACAGTAAAGTGTAACGAAAAATGTTTCCAGATAAGGAGTTTCACATTTGGGTATCCATAAGGGTTAATCATTGAATATTCAGTTGACCACAGATAAGAGGGGGCTATCATTTTTTAGATGATGGCACTGGAGGTTATAATTTGAAAACATGTTCATTATTCAAAAATATCTGAGGGAAACTGGTAGGTTTTCATGTTGGATGAGTAATGGAAGCTTCCTCTTCAGAGGAGCTAATGAGATAACACTAACCAGCACAATGTTGGTTGCTCATGAGGACTAGTAGTTGCAGCAAATTAGTAGAAAAGTATATTATTCATACTCACAATACTGTCACATTTTACAGTCCTGTTAAAACATAAAACTGACATTTCTCTGAATAGTTAGACTTTTTATTTTTTATTTTTTCTCTGCCTTCTCATGATGACATAACCAATACTCAAATACTGATTTCAGTATTTGAATACTGGCACTTGAAAGGTCACCCGTGTAAATTTTAATAAAAAGTTCAATGGGGAAAAAAATTAATCATAAAAATCTACCAACAATTTCCATTTCCACAGCCTACATCAGCAAACTTTCTGAAACACTCTAAAGCATAAAAAATCCTTTGGATGGAAATGTAGCTGTTGTTGGACAAAGGTCATTGTGCAGTTCAGCGTAGGAAGTGAGCCAAAGGTGTGCATGTGTGCAGCATATCCATGAAGAATAACCACACGTGTAAGCGTCTGTTTCCATAAGGAACAACCACAGGTGTTCCGGATGCCAAAGCATGTCTCTGTGTAGGTGAGCGTAAGCATGTGTGGGCTGAGCACGAGGATTTAAGTGCAGATGTGATCCCACACAACCTTCTTAGGTGGTTAAAATCACTTATATATCCACAACACAGAAAAACACTGTGTTAGAACATCAATGATGGTGAAGCACCTCTCACTAACGCATGACATAAGCCTCTCTGAGCAGCACATGCTACACACTTACATACAGCAGAAAACAACTTAATTACAGGCAAACACAACCAAAATAGTGTTTCTCTGTGTGTTGGTCCGCACATACTACTTACATGAAAACATGTAATTTCCATAGCCTTGCTCTGCCTCACAGAAGCGCACTCTATACAATTAAAGGCAAACCCATAGGATCACTTCATTACAGTACACCACAGGGACTGTCACATTTAGAACGATACCAAAGCGCTTAATATAACTCACATCTCAGTTCCACTTCCACTCAGCCTTACCCACTAAAACTCACATCATCTCACCCCACCACAGATACATCTAGACAACAACAGATGTTCCTCCTCCTGCATGAATGTCAAAAAAATATGCTCTTTAAACCAATTATCCACTTCTTATCAGAGCTGGGGTCAGCCAAGTCCAGAATCTCAATGCTACTTTTTCATCCACTTCTTATGCAAGCAGGAGCTGGACCTGAACTGACCTCCATCCTTCTATCTCTGGCCTTCCAGCTCTCATCTAAAAAGGTTTGGCTTAAATTCACCTACTTTGTGCTGTTCCTCATCGCTGCTCTCCATCTCCCTAAACCTCCAACCAAAAGGTCAATTTGTTAAAGGAATACTGCAGCTCTTTTCAACTTGACCCCTATCTGCTGCAACTTCTGTACCATTGATTACCACATAAGTTTGGAGTGTTTTCCTGTCAGTGTTTTCCACACGTAGGATGTGTTTATAGTCGTCTATCCAAGTATATTTCAATTAATTTATAAAAAAATAATAATTAAAAAAAAAAGGTTAGAATTTTTATTCATCCGTGAACAATGTGATTTAGTTCCAATTTGCCTAGTTGAATGAATGCCTAGATGCAGCTGTGCTACTAATGCATCTAATATTTATTAACAGATGAGTGCTGAGAAATATTGTAACAAGAAGCCCTGCTAGGAAGAGGAGAGAGTTACAGCACAAGTATCCTAATGTGTGCAAATTCATGGCATCAGTGAAGTACTTTATGGTCAGTGGGCAAGCTTAACCTTACTGAAATACAGTCAGAAGAACATCTAACAGATTGTGGGTACAACCTACTGGAGCCAAAAGGCTGAAAATTTTAAATAATCTTTACATCCGTTTTAGGCACCTGAGAAAATTAGAAATAAAAAGCTATTCATCTGGTCAGTAAGTGTTTAGAAAAACATAAATAATAGAATAAATACAATTAATATTAATAGAAAAAGTAATGATTTTACAATATCATTTTTTTTTAACATTTAATGATTTCCAAACTTCTCTTTGAGGAAGCTTAACATTAAGTGTTGGGATCATCCAACACCTGGTTTGGCTAATAAACCATTCAGCTTCGTTTTTTGGCCAATCAATGCTTCAAATGAGCTGGTTATGGATTTAACAAATCCATGTGATGTCTGGGGGCTTCAAGGAGAATTCTATGTACTTTGTTTTAGCTATATTTATGTTGCATCTATTCAAATGATATATCATACCCACTTATTGCCATACATAACACTTTTGTAAATAAATGTTAGTGATAGTAGAGACAAATTATTATAAAATACTGAAAATGTAATTTATACAGGTTGTGTAACAAACATATAAAGACGACACTGCCTGTCCTTAGAAACGACTGCAAATCCCAGTGGCTTGAAACACAGTTGTAGAAGCAATTGGCCAAGAATTCCATAAATTACTGTTTGAAGTACGGGACTATCTGGCACAATTTCAGAACAACAATCATTAACCAGACAGGCCTTAAGATGACAGACTAAAAGAATGTCTAATCAAAGTTGCTAGAATGAAGATGGCATTCTTTTCTAACTTCAAGGAAACATCAAAATTACATTCTGTGATAATTGAGTGCACACAACAAATACTGCAGAAAAAGATTAGATTGAAAAATATTGGAGTATTCCTTTAAGCCATTCCAAACTAACTGAAATTAGCACGTTCAGAAGCTCCCAAGACTGCTGAGGTTTGGTTCCAGCAGCGCACTCTATACAATTAAAGACAAGCCCGTAGGATCACTTCATTACAGTACACCACAGGGACTATATGTCACATTCAGAACTGCACCTAAAAGCTTAATATAACTCTCAGCACCACAATTCCACTCAACAAAAAAAAAAAACGTTCTTTAAACCAATTATTTACTTCTTCTCAGAGCAGGGGTCAAACCAAGTTAAATTCCAAGAGGAATTTGTAGGCTACTTTTTCATCCATTTCTTATGCAAGCAGAACCTGAATTGACCTCTGTCCTTCTATCTGTGGCCTCCTATTTTTCCTCTAAAAGGTTTGGAAGGAGATGGATAGTGAGATTACGAAAGGCATGGAGAAGCGCAACCTCACAACAGCACTCATTCCCTGTACTTTAACAGGGCTGTTAAAAAGTCCAAGTACAGGGTAGAGCATGTTAATAAGAGCAGAGGTGCAGTGAGTTCAGAACGGAGAACTACAGGGTTGCTGGTCTGAATCCTAAGTGGTGCTCCAGGTGATGCTGACTCAGAAAGTGAGCATTAATGGGTTTATCACTTAACTGAACATGGTTCTACATCTGAGGTACTTCAATATAGTCCCTTCTCCAAATGAGCAGTCCCACTGTAAGTGTACTATATAATAGTCTTTCTTTGACCAAACTGAGATGCACAAAAATAAGCCTAAATTAATGTTATCTACTGAGGAAGGCTGCTTCTATAGCTTCTACACCCAACTTGTCGTTCTATACATATTTGCCATGGCAGCAACATGGCCAAAGATACAAGGGCTAATAGGGATGCAATCACAATATCCAGATGCATTGTGATATACTGAATCGTGACACACGTATCGTCATTGGTGTCATATTCCAAGCTATATTATAGTTGGCAATAAACCTACTGTAGGGCTGGGACCATTGACAATAGTCCTAAAATCAATAGGTTGAGGTATTTTTTTTTTGTCTGTAAAAATTATATATGGCATGATAAAACATTTGTTGGCCCCTTGGGTGCAAACGTAAACCATTCCAGACTTTCTAAATATAACAGCAATCAAAATATTGACATTTATCAATAATTTTGTCCTATTTTGTCAATATTCCATAATTTCTTATCATCTTAGACCTCCTATTTGCAGAGGCTGGGACCCTGAAGCTGAGGAAATCCGAAGGACTCACCCCTCTTTTCCTCGGTTGTGGATGGCCAGCTCATCAGTGATGCCCTCCTCAGTTTTGAACGCATCCCAGTCCAGCTTGGACTTCTCCAGCGTGCTCATTTTCTGCTTCTTGGCTCCGATACGGTTCAGGACGCTGCCCATCCCTGCTGGCCTCTTCGCACTGGAGGAGAGATGGGAGAATGAAAAAGTCAAGAGGGGGCGCAGAGGAAGCTTTTCACCAGAACAAGGAGCTCAAAAATCTTAAACTTAAGTGACCCCGACATAAAAAGGGCTAAATCAAAAATGTCATAAAAGACAAAAATCTCAAATGACACTGTCGCTGTACATCAGCAAAGAGGAAATGGCTTGAATGCATCAAAATAATGGTGGACAAAAATGCAGAAAGCAGAGGCCAAATAGAAAGACACAGACGGAAACAGCAGAGGGAGAAAGTGTGTGGAAAAAATGGAATAAGCAATGATCAAAACAAGCAAAGATCAAAACAATCGTGGAGCTATTTCTTGTGCTGCTCGAACAAAGATGTCCATTTTAAATGATACAGAAGTCATCTTGACACTGGTGTCGTGCTTGGCTGGAATAATGAAATGTTAAACGATCTGTGTCAGGAAAAAGAGCTGAAGCCATCACAATGGTGGGGTGCAGGGCATGAGGCAGTGATTGGTGGGGGGGCGCTAAAAGAAAGTGGGGGAGGGGCAGAAATCTTTTGAGGGTGCTGGAGAGAGTTTCACGCTCAGGTGAGTCATACTGGAAGTTCTTTCATGAGAAACGGGAATGAAAATGACCAGAGTGCAAGTGTGTGTGTGTGTGTGTGTGTGTGTGTAAAAAGGGTGTTTTCCTGCAAGGTACTCCACCTTCATCCCTTTGTAGACCACAACAGAAGGGAAGTGACACTACAAACACCAGAGGGTCTAAACACGACCTCAAGGAATTCACAATATGCATGCAGCACTCAAAAGACTGCCACAAATTAAGTATTCATTTTAACACTGCTTATTAACACTGCAGTCAAGATCACTAGAGGCAAGCTCGAGTCAAGATCAAGAATATAAAAATAAAAATAAGAAAAAAAGGGGAAAAAATTAATTTGCAATTTGTAGTTCATTGTACAGTCATTATTACTTACAATAATACACATAATACATACTATGGTTTATCATTCGTTTAGCATAATATAATACTTAATACTATATAGCTTAAAACGTTATTAATTTATATAATATTAAAGTCTTTTTTTCCCCCAAAACTAATATATGTATACACACACACACACACACACACACACACACACACACACACACACACACACACAACAAGCAAGCCCATCCCTCAATAACAGCAGAGCAGCAGTCTTCTAAAAAGACAAAAAAAAGAGGGGAAGAAAAAAAAGAAAAAAGGGGACAGGAAAAGCACACTCATCGAAAGCGTATATTACAAGCTAGTAGCTAGGATGTTACCTTGAGACTATATCAGTTAGTGGCTAGAATGTTTGCTTATTGATAGTACATCACATCTGAGCACATGGCTGCAGTTGCACATACCTGCTCATCTCCATACACGTCACCCTCCTGTCAGTCATGGGAACAACAATTAAACAAACAGTTTGGTGCTTTGCGTGTTAAATTGCGATTTTATTTCCTATTCGTTTTTTGTTTTGTTTTTGATCTTTTGTAACATTGTTAAGCACAGCTTTTATTTAGTGCTTCTACTAAGAAACCTGTCTCAGTGGATCAGGAAAAACCCCACTGTGTCATTTTTAGCCTGAAACGTTGTACTTCTATAATGTAAAACTGTCTAATTACCTGAAAATGCAAACCCTTACACACAAGGCACATTTTCAGGAATTGCTTACTTTTCTACTGTACTGAAGCAGTTTTTTTCAGTATTTCCTCAGGCAGTTTCAAGAGGAGCCACTGTTCTGACAAGCTTGAAGAAGATACATGTATGAGATGGGAATACAAACATCGCAACAACTTCACAATTTATATCTGTCTAGGAAACAAATTTCAAGCACTTGACCTGTGCTTAAACTTAACTGGCAATCAATAAAGAGCTTTTGTGCACATTTCTACTGTATGATTACAGCACTGCAATATAATATTTACCCTCCACACTGCTGATGTTTGAAACATATACTTAAAATCTAAACAATCACACATACGGAGGGAGAGAGAGAGAGAGAGAGAGAGAGAGAGAGAGAGAGAGAGAGAGAGACTTTGATGAGAGATAGGACTAAAGTCTGCTAGCATGCATTTGCCATCTGTGCTGGAGCTGTCAGCATCATTCAAGAGTGAAGAGAGAGAGAGAGAGAGAAAAGAGCGAAGAGAGAGAGTGTTTGTTATTTAAAATGTGATGTTTATTTTATTTTGATGCCACCTCAGGACTGAACAATCTTAGCTCTGCTTTCAGAAGATCAGCAAAGGTTGGTGTGAAGATGAATAAAAGATGAAGAAATGTAACACACACACACACACACACACACACACACACACACACCTGCATACTAAAGCATGTCACATAAAGCCCATGATTACACACAGCTTTCTGCCAGCTGTTCCAGTGTAGAACCGTTCCCACGACATTCGGAGTCTACACAGACTAAACACACACATACACATACACATACACACACACACACACACACACACACACACACAGCGGAGAGAACCACACTAGGGCCTGACTGATGTATCATTTAGCCAATAACATCAGCTGATATTGAAGTCCTGCAGATATATCAGTGAAGATCCCCTATAAAGCTGATCTTTAGTGTCTTGTTCCAGACACTTCTGCTGTAATAAAAGTAATTCACTCCTGAGAATTCAAAGGCTCTCTATTCTTGTATTCCAGCAATACAGGTGGAACCATTTCCGTAGCTATGAGAGGGGCCTGGGCACCTCTGCCCTCTCACTCGGAAGCCCCAAGTCATTCAGTACTTGGTGCAAGCTTGGTAAGTAGTAATGTTGAGCACTGTGGTACAGCAAATAAAAGCTCAATACTAGGGAAAAAAAACCCAGTGACCCATAATATTTATATTTGATGTTTTGCTGTTTGAGAGCTGACAATCATATTTGCCAGTTCACAGTTGATACACAAATCATATCACCAGTAATATCAGTCAGTAAATTACTGTTTATGTAAAACTAAAAGCTTGGACTCTTTGATTATATCAACTGATAAAATTTGATAAAACATGTGCTGCCAGCACGTTCAGGCTTTCATTTCTCAGTGGTATAACTTAAGAAAACCTTAGTTTTCCATGTAGTTACTAAATTATAACCATTAGGGTTTAGTAAGACAAAAATTTCATATTGATTGTTCCCCAACTTGCATGCACACACGCACTCTAAAATGCAGAGCTCACAAAAAAAGAAAATCAATTATGAGGATCAATACCATGATATAAAAGTGCCTTCTCTAACACAACACATCCAAAAGGAACCGCAGCTGAACGTGGATATATTCCAGTCATTTAGCACCGCCGGCCTCTACAAGGGCTTTACCTTGTGACCAACACACAGGTCAACTAATGCCAACATACCAGTACCAGCACATCTGTATTAACCAGAACCAATCCACTGAGAGCGCTTCTAGAGAGACTGAACTCAAGCAAAGAACTTAAAGATTACTCTCAGCTTTCGGAGCACCAATACTAAATGAGTGTTTAAAGCACGCAGGGTTATTAATGCATGTTGAACTAAAGACATGGTGACGTTTTTGGTTTTATATATATAAATACACACACACACACACACCACACACACACACACACACACACTCCAGACAAATAGTGGACTATTTAGCTGAAGAAGCTAGTTTTTGAAAACTTACATAGCACACTATTTAGGGAGCATGAAGCCATTTGAGATCCCGCCTAGACCTAATGCCACCTGTGACTGAAAAGCACAATGATTTTTCATGGTGCAGTAACACAGGATTCAGTTGTTGTGAGGTGGTCACAGGTGTGCATATATAGTGTATTTTTTTTTCCAACGGTTTCGAACGTGGCTCAGCCAATCAGATTTTAGAACTGTTTTATAATAGCAATTTGCATGTCATTTTTTTTCTACAGGCAAATTAAAATGTCAAAAGAGGACAAAGTGTCCCCAGACTTTTGATGAGCAGTGTCCATAAACAACGACATGACAGGATTTATAAATGTCTATGCATAAACGCAAATCAGAGAAATGGTGACCATACCCAACACACACACACACACACACACACACAAAAAAAAAGGACAGAGCAGGACAGGAGCTGGTCAGTCTGTGAGCTGGGTTGAGTTTATTTGTAGTCTGAGGTCTCCCATGACCAGAAGCTTGTCACTGTCTGTCTCTTTCTCCTTCTCTCTCTCTCTCACACTCACACACACACACACACACACACACACACACACACACACACACACAGTTGGTATGAGTGGATCAGACACAGCAGTGCTGCTGGAGTTTTTAAACACCCGAGTGTCACCCCTGGACTGAGAATAATCCAACATCTAAAACATCTCATGTGTCCAATAGAGTGGACAGTAGCACTGCTGTGTCTGACCCACGTGTACCAGCATAACACACACTAACACGTCACCACCACATTACTGTCACTGCAGTACTGAGAATGAGTTGCTGGTTTTGAATGGTTTTCCTGACCATTGAAGAACAGGGCGAAAGGCGAATGATCAAGCACGCAGAGAACCAGACTGATAATTGTAGAACTACAGTGCACCTATAAGCTTAGTGGAGGTGATAAAATGGAGAAAGAGTGTAGGAACAAGGAGGTATACTTAATAAAATGGCCAGTCAGTGTAAATCATCACTGAACGTAACTTTACATTTAAAATAAAAAAAGTAACTTTTAATTTTAGTTCATTTGAAAGTTAATGTAAAGGTAATGTAAAAAGATTTTTTTCCACAACTGTTGGACTATTTCAATTCATTTAGGCTATTTACACACCTAATTTGTTTTCTAAAGTTCGAACGAGAGTTTGGGATTTTGTGGCACTGTACTTTTTTCCTTCTGGCTCAGTTGCTTTTGCACTGCAATGGCTAAAGTGCACCAAAATACACATGTGGGTGTTTGATGATTGGTCAGAAATTTGCACACAATTGCTCAGTTCACATTAGAGCCAAAAAAAACAAAACAAAAAAAAACAAATCTGCATCCTGA